TAAAATAATTAAAAATATTTAATATGATCATGTTAATAAATTAAAATAAGATATTAAATCATTTGATTGAAATCTTCTTTATGTGTCTAGTTGAGTAATAAAAAGAATTTAAAGTATACTTATTTGAAATACTTTTAGTGGATCCTATAATCTTGATAATTATTTTATCTTTGTTAAATCTTTATATTAATATTGCATCTTAAAGATCTCTTTAACTCTTTTTTTTTTTCATTATTTATGGTTATGTATACTTAATTTCCTTATATATCAACCTTTGATTTTGCTATATTGATACTTTTGTACTTAAAAGAAAATATAAATAATTTGATTATGTGAAGTTTTTAGAATTATTAATGGGATGGTAAGTTAGTGTATAAATTATAAATTTTATTCTTGTTTTACTTTTTACTTTTATTTTTTTCTTTATTTTCTTTTTTTTTCCTGCCTTAAATAAAAGTTTGGTCACGCGTATTAGATGGTAAAGTTTCTAGAGCATTTTCTTCTTCTTTAAAAAACATCGCTGAAAAGATAATCAATCATCTCAAATTGATAAAATAATATATTTAATATATTTCAAATAAATTAATTCAAAAATACTAGATTGAAATTAAAGTAAAAAAAATAAACACTCAAAAGAAACCAATGTGTGGATCTAGATACCTAGCATGTTTGGCCCATTAAAAATAAGGCTAGACATGTAGGTATATTAAGCCAAGCATGCATGACTATTTATTTTTTATTTATTTATTAGAAAGAGTGAAAGCTCCATTTTTTTGAACATGTATAAAGTTATTTATTGTGGTAAATAACATATTGTTTGATTGACTAATTTTTGTTTATTTTTATTAATTGAAAAATCAAGGTTTAATAAAATAATATATGTAATATATTTGAAATAAATTAATTTAGAAGAAACTAGATTGAAATTAAACGAAAAAAAAACTCATAATAGACTAATACATAGGCCTGGATATTTAGCACACTTGATCTATACGATTGTTTATTTTATTTTTTTTATTAAAAGAAGCAGAAGCTCCATTTTTTTAAACTTGTAATGAGTAATCTATCATGATAGATGTCTCATCACCTAATTAACTAGCTTATGTGCTTTTTTATTAGAAATAATAATTTTTTTTAATGACAATTTGATAAATCTATTCCTAACCTCAAAAAATCAAACTAATATTTATGGTATGAAAAGATCTTGATTTGTTGTTAATATAAATTAACATCATTAATACTTGACAATATTTACAAGTGTTAATATTATTCAAATAAAATAGTTAAAAATATTTAATATGATCATGTTAATAACTTAAAATAAAATATTAAATTATTTGATTGGAATCTTCTTTATGTGTCTAGTTGAGTAATAAAAAGAATTTAAATTATACTTATTTGAAATACTTTTAGTGGATCCTATAATCTTGATAATTCTTTTATCTTTGTTAAATCTTTATATTAATATTATATCTTAAAGATCTTTCTAACTCTTTTTTTTTCCATTATTTATGGTTATGTATATTCAATCTCCTTATGGATCGACCTTTGATTTTGCTACATTGACACTCTTGCACTTAAGAGAAAATATAAATAATTTGATTATGTCAAGTTTTTAGAACTATTAATGGGGTGGTAAGTTAGTGTATAAATTATAAATTTTATTCTTGTTTTACTTTTCACTTTTATTTTTTTCTTCATTTTCTCTTTTTTTTTTTGCCTTACATAAAAGTTTGGTCACACATATTAGATGGTAGAGTTTCTAGAGCATTTTCTTCTTCTTTAAAAAATATTGCTGAAAAGATAATTATTCACTTTAAATTGATAAAATAATATATTTAATATATTTCAAATAAATTAATTCAAAAATACTAGATTGAAATTAAAGTAAAAAAATAAACACTCAAAACAAATCAATGTGTAGACCTAGGTACCTAGCATGTTTGGCCCATTAAAAATAAGGCTAGACACGTAGGTATATCAAGCAAAGCATGCATGGCTATTTATTTATTAGAAAGAGTGAAAGCTCTATTTTTTTTAACATGTATAAAGTTACCTATTTATATTGCTTGATTGACTAATTTTTGTTTATTTTTATTAATTGAAAAATCAAGGTTGAATAAAATAAGATATGTAATATAATTGAAATAAATTAATTTAAAAGAAACTAGATTGAAATTAAAGGAAAAAAAACTCATAATAGACTAATACATGGGCCTGGATATTTAGCACACTTGGTCTATACGATTTTTTATTTTTTTTTATTAAAAGAAGCAGAAGCTCCATTTTCTTAAACTTGTAATGAGCTGTCTATCACGATAGATGTCTCATCACCTAATTAATTAGCTTATAAATTTTTTTATTAGAGATAATAATTTTTTTTAATGACAATTTGATAAACCTATTCCTAACCCCAAAATATCTAAAAATCACTCTAATAACATAAAAATCAATCGAATTAAAAAAATAAATAGACTATAATTTACTTTTTTTAGTATATTTATAGAAAAAATACTGTAATTATTAACTCTTCTTGAGAATAAAAACTTATTAACACTAAAAATAACTTCTTCTTTTTTATGGGTACGTGACCAACTAAATATTTCTTCTATCTATTGCCCAGTTTTTAGAAAAACTAAATGGATTACAAAGGTTAAAAAAAAAAAAAAACTTAAGCCAACTTTTTTAGAAAAGATACTAATTACACAAGGGGATGCATATCCGTTATATTGTCAAATTAATTTGGTCCTTAATTCAATTTTCTAACCAACAAAACTGAACCTTATCTTGCCAAATAAAATTTTAATTAAATGCCAGAACATCATTTGACACCTCAAGAGCCCAAAATCCTATTTAACCCTATTTACAAGGATTCAATTAAAAATAAATAGATGATAAAATGAAATTAAAGGGATAAAAAAAGAAACTATTTATATGAGAGGATGCTGCAGTGATGTCACCGAACCTTTAAACTTTTTTTTTCTTTAAAAAAAATATTAATTTAATTATTAAAGTAATATGCAAACGTTGCCCTGATCCCCTCCCCCTCCCTATAAATAACGTCACTTAGCTCTGTACTTCAGTATACTCGATCAATCATCAATCTACTTATTTCAAAAATGTCTCCAGCCATTTCTGGTGGACCATTCCTGATCTTCTTTCTAACTCTCTCCCTCCACTTTTCCTTCCCCACTGCTGTCCGCTTGCCAACCAAAGTGCCCAGCTTCCTTCAGGGCGATAATTCTCCACCCACTGAGAAGTATTGGTTCTCAAGGTTGCCCAACACTCCATTGCCAAAAGCACTTCGAGATACTCTACAACCTGGTTATTATCCTTCAGTGATCAGAGATTTCGCTAATGGCGAAAACATTAGCGTTGATGCTCGTGAAAAATATGGAAAAAACTATAATGGAGCAGATAACCGTAAAAAAGCAGCAAAATCAGCTCTCCCCGACTCAACAATATTCTACTTGTACAACGATCTCCATCCAGGTAAAAAGATGAAATTGCTTTTTACTAACAGTGGAACCAAGGTTAGTTTCTTGCCTCGTCGAGTCGCAGAGTCTATACCATTTTCAAGTGACAAATTTCCGGAGATTTTGAAGTACTTTTCTCTACAAGTCAACTCGAAAGAGGCTGAGATTATCAGTGATGAAATAGGATACTGCGAGAGCCCGAACATGGAAGGAGAAGAAAAATATTGTGCTACATCTCTAGAGTCATTAATTGATTTTAATGTTGCGGGGCTTGGCCAAAATGTTCAGGTACTCTCAACTGAACCAGGCAAGAAGCAAGAGTATACAGTTTCGGCGAAGGCGGAAATGAGGGGAGAACATAAAGCAGCGGTGTGTCATAAGATCAGATATCCTTATGCAGTACATTATTGCCATGTAATCGAAGCCACAGAGGTTTATGTGGTTCCATTAATCGCTGCTGATGGCGCAGAAGTGAAAGCGGTAACCGTATGCCACCTGAACACATCAGCTTGGAGTCCTGACCATATGGCCTTTGAAGTTCTCAAAACTAAACCAGGACCGGCTGTTTGTCACTTTCTGGCTACTGATACTCTTGTTTGGGTTCCAAAAAAGGATCAAGACATGACTCCATGATCATAGGTCAAAGCTTGGTATTGTGGTGGCTGCTTTTAAAGTTGCGTAATAAGAAGGTCCTGAAAAACCTTGTCTTAGCATGCTTGGAATTATGTATTGAAAGCCCAGAAATGTGATTGTATTTTCTAGCATGGAATGTATCATTTGGTGCAATGGTGTTTGTTGTCCTTTTTGTTATCCATTAATCACAAAGATTCCGTTGAGAAAGTTTGGTTATGAATTTACATGGAGCAATAAAATAAAAGACGCAAATTCTTCCTTTTTCTTTCTCAATTTTTTTCTACTGTCTGGGGAAAAACTCCTATCCTCTAAGAAAGTAAAAATCTTGAAATACATTCTTTGAAAAAAATTACCAGTAGAATGATGGGCGAATGCATATATTAACAATAGCAGAACCCCGCCAACCTAGCATGATTTGTGGGAGTAACTGGAGAGACAAGGAGACCCGGAACAATTGCAATGACGAGGATAAACACTCCCTCAAATAAGCCTATGTCAGTGAAGAGAAGTTGACTGATGAAGGAGTCCCAGCAGCAGTAAACTCACCTCAGGATGGTAATTTATAGTAGAACATATATTGGAAACAAATCAGCCCAAATCATGTTAGTTAATGTTATCAGTCAAAGTAACAGATCACATTCCAGAGATTTTATTTACACATATTCTATTCAAATTGATATTTTATTGTTATCTTAAATACCAACCGCTCAAGCACTGTAAAAGTACTGCTATGTATTCATGTCTCCTTCAATAAAGAAACTAATCTTCTTAGCAAACAACTTTTTCTTTCATTTTTTCTTTATGATATCATAGCTTGTGTGAACATACAACAATCTCAGCAAAACCTTGCAACATGACAACAACGTCTTTTAATATTGGCAATTTTATTACCCTCAAACTCAAGCCTACAAATTATGCATTGTGGAGAAAGAACAAGCCTTAGCTCTTGCAAAAAGTCAAGAGCCTGGGCACCTCACTAAAGAACATCCAACCCCCATTAAGTACATTACACTAGACTCAAATAACACCACATATTTAGACATTTTCACCAAAACTAACTTAACTGAAGAATACATTGTCTAGCAAAAGACAGATCTTCTTTGTGGATAGATAATTGGGATGCTTTTAAAAGAAACATCCAGTCTTGCTTTGGGTTTAGATACATCCTATGCTATCTATAATACTCTCAAAAATGATTATGCAAAAGATTCACAAGAACATAAATTTACTCTCAAACAACAAGTTATATATCTTCAAAAAAAAAATGACAGAACCATTAAAAAAAATATAAGTATCTTCAAAGGTTTATATGATAATGTTGCCATTATTAAGAAACTTGTCTAAAAAAAAAAAGGTTTTTGCCCTCCTCACTAGTCTTAGCCCTCCATATAAAACTTTCATTACCACCATACTAAAACTACCAAGGCCTTTATATTCCGAGTCAGTCTTACAATTAAAAAGTCTTGATCAAAGACACAATTGGTTTACCAATTATATGAATAACTCAAACTCATTCACCCTACAACTAGTGTTTATGGACAAAAACTACAATGTACTCAATAGTTCCCTTTAAGAAATTATAGGAACAAACACAAGTTCATATCTACTTGTAGAGGCTTTTGTGTGCAACAGCCTAAATATAGAAATCATATCTACTCTTCCAAACTTACTCCAGGCCTCCAATAAGAATTTCTCCCCCCACCTAATGAAAAACATGGCACTTGCATAACAAGAATTATATCGAGAAGAAACTTGTCAATATTATGGTTATGTAGGATATATTGAAAAGATATCTTGCTAACTATCAAAATGATGAACTCAATATGAAAGATATTTTATAAGCTCTTATAGCTCTCACTTTGAACAATACTATAATTGAAAAATAATGGACATTAGACACTCACTTTGAACAATACTATAATTGAAAAATAATGGACATTAGACACGGGAGCCTCCAACCATATGTTAGGAAGAGGAACTTGAGGCTCTCCAAAAAATCAAACTTTGGAACTTGTTCCTTGCACAACTTCCATGCATGTCATTAACTTTAAATGGGTTCTCAAACCAAAAATCAAACTCGAAGGCTCATTGGATTGTTTTAAAGCTCGAGTGGCACCAAAAAGGTATATCACCAAGTTGATGGATTGGATTATATCAAGATCTTCTATCTATTTATCAAACTTGGAACTATATGCATGGTTATAACCATAAAATTAGTTTAGAAATGATCCATACATCATCTTGATGTAAAAAAAAGCTTCTTACATAGTTTAATTTCAGAAGACATAGAACCTTTGAGAATGACAAATCTTCAATATCTATCACATGTTTGTAAGCTCCAAATAGCTCTTTATAGTCTTAAACAACAACATCATGCTTGGTTTGATCAGTTTGGCACATTCCTTAAACATAATTTCTTTTGGAGCCTTGCAGACCCATCTCTAATTATCTTTTACACTAATTATAATACATTAATCATTTTTTTATGTTGATGATATAATTTTCACAAGGTCTTCTGTTACTCTAGTTATGAACTTCATTCATATTTTGTGTTTAAAATTTGTAGTGAAATATGTGGGACCAGTTCATCACTTTCCTGGAATTAAGATCACTCACACATATAAAGGTCTCCTCCTTTCTCAATCACACTATGTTGTTACCATCCTTGAACAAGCTTACATGGTGGAATATATACCCATGAACACACCACTTTAAGCTAAGACTAGGATCACAACAAATGGCATGTTACTGTAAGATCCACTCTTTTCATGGACTTGTTGGTGCCTTATAGTACCTAACACTCACATGACATGATCTTTCATACATTGTTAACTTTGTCTCCCAATTCATGCATGCTTCGATTGTTATATATTTAAAAATGGTTCATCACATTTTAAGATATGTAAAAAAAACCATTGATATTGACCTATATTTTACTTCCCATGCTACACTAGATACTGCATATTTCTTAGAAGAAATCTCACCTCAAGATGGTGATTCATGATAAGAAGGAAATTTTTGTTATGGAAAAGCCGCCAGTACAATCTTTATATTTACTGACAGAATTTTCCATCAGTATTTGCACTATCATTCTATTAGTAATTAATTTACCAACAAAATTACCGACGGAAATGCTCAATCCATGAATCTTTCATCAATAATTTTTTGTTCATCGGTAAGTCTGTTGATAATAAAAAAAATTATTTTACAGATGGAAAAAACATGCAAAAAAATTATCTTCTTCATTCCGTCAGTACTTCTCTTGGTAAATCCGTATGTAATTCCGTCGATAATTATTTTAAAATATTTTTAAAAAATCTATTTTACAAAGCTATAAAATAATTAAATTAATATAAATTAACACTATATAATACTCAAAACACTTGAAAAAAAGAAAAAGAAAATTGACTCAACAAATTTGCAACAAATAAATAACAGAAAAAGTAAATTCATCTACAAAAATTCATATGGAAAAAATAAAGTTACAATTGCTAAAACTTTAAAAATCCTATAAATAAATCAACTAAAAATTGATCTCATATGGAAAAAAGAATCCTACAACAACATTCATACATTTATTAAGAACCAAAAAAATTAAAAACAAAATAAAAAAACAAATATAGTGAAAACAAAAACTCGAAAAAAGAAGAAAAAAATATTACCTTGATGTAGTTGCAAGTGAAGCTAAGAAGATAAAAAAAAAACATAAAGTTTATTAATTAAAAAAACTAAGGAGAAAAAAAAAGAGAAAAATACATACTTGAGCATCTAGCAAAAGAGAAGAAGTCAAGAAGATAAGAGAAGAGAAAGAAATGGATATTGATATTTTTTATATATGGGAAAGAAGAAGAAGAAGAAGAAAGGAGCCTTATTTGTTGTGAAATTCTGGACTTTTTATTACAGTGTTTTACCGACAGATAATTAAATATTAATATTTTTAAATATTACATCGATAATATTTAATTAAAATTTTTAATTTAATAAAAAAATTCAGAAACCGCTAAATATCACCGATGACTTTTCAATCTGTCGGTGATTCTGTCTGTAATATTTAATTTAAATTTTCTATTTAACTAAAATTTTTTAGAAACCTGTCAAATAATACTGACAACTTTTTAATCCGTTGGTGCTTTTATCTTTAAAAAATAATAATTAACAGTATAATTGAGGAGTGAATAGTTCAAGAGTTCTCTAAAAAATACCGATGGAATTTTCCGTTGGTGACTTTCTCTGTAATTAACATGATGAGCAATGTTAATATCTTACAATTGAAATTACCGACAGAATTTACCAACGAAATAAAAGTATTGTTGTATATTCACGTTTCCTTCAATAAAGAAATTGATCTTTAATTTTATCAAACAACTTTGTCTTTTTATTTTTCTTTAGCACACTCTTCTCAATTTATATTCAAACTTTACAAGAAATGAAATGAGAATTGAATCTTAGATTTTTGTAATTAAAAGAAATCATAAAAAAAAACTCATTTCATTTGTCAGTTCATATGGTTATAAATTTAAGGACTACAATTAATTGCTCTCCATTACGAATATTGAATTTAAGGTATTTAAGATATCTAAGATGTTTTAATGGTAGCTTTAATCCATAATGTTTCTTGGTTACTATAAAAAAAGACATCTAAAATATACTTTGCTAGCAAAAGAAATTAGTGAAAATCCAGGATCTCAAAGCTCTCTATGCTGTGCAAATGAGTTGAAATTTTTTAGAAACCCGTCAAATAACACCAATGACTTTTTAATTCGTCAGTGCTTTTGTCTTTAAAAAACAATAATTAACATTGCAATTGAGTAGTAAACAATTCCAAAACTCTCTGAAAAATATTGATGGAATTTTCTGTTAGTAACTCTCTCTGTAATTAACATGATGAGCAATGTTAATATCTTACAATTGAAATTACCGACAGAATTTACCAACGAAATAAAAGTATTGTTGTATATTCACGTCTCCTTCAATAAAGAAATTGATCCTTAATTTTATCAAACATCTTTATCTTTTTATTTTTCTTTAGCACACTATTCTCAATTTATATTCAAACTTTACATGAAATGAAATGAGAATTGAATCTTAGATTTTTGTAATTAAAAGAAATCATAAAAAAAAAACTCATTTTATTTGTCAGTTCAGTCAGTTCATATGGTTATAAATTTAAGGACTACAATTAATTGCTTTCCATTATGAATATTAAA